TATCATACCGAAAGAGATCAATCAGCTGAGCTCGTCATATCAAGAACATCTGTAAGGTGTATTTTGGTTAAAGGCCTTAAAATGCATCCGTATAAACCTCAACTAGTGCGGGAATTAAAACCAGTACCACCATCTACACCGTGCGTTTGCAGAAACAATGTTAGAGCGTTTTCCAAGTTTGAACCATATTCTCTTTTCTAATGAAGTTCGCTTTCATTTGAGTGGATTTATTAACAATCAGAATTACCGATATTGAGATCCCGATTTAAAACACCAATGACCTTTGCATTCGCGATGAACCAGCGAGTTTTCACGAATTTGAAGCCGAGATTCGAGGAGTGCGTACGTCTTGATGGCTCACAGCTCAGTGATGTTATTTTCTAAAAATAAAATTTCCATATCTTTACTTTATTAGAAATATAAATTATCTTCCCTACGTTTTGTATTTTTTCGGTAATATTTTAAAATCCGATCAATTTAATGGCCCGCCCTGTATTTAGCAAAAGCTATATTTTACATTTAAATCATTGACCTGCCTGGTATTATAAAATCTATTAATTATAAACTTTTATTTATTATTAAAAACATACACAGATAGTTCATACAAACACAATGTAGTAAGGGTTGATTTTTTTGGTCTTTGAAAAATATCTTTACACGAATGATGAATGATCCGTTTATGCCATACTTTGATAGTTTTCCCAACAGTACAAATACTTAACAATAATAATAATATAATAATAATAATGCCTTTATTAGCTGCAGTGAGGCGAAGTTTAGCCAGATGGCTACTCTTACACTCTTACACTCGCCCACAACAGTAAAAAAATAATACTTAAACACATAAACAAAATAATAACATACAAAAAAGATACAGTTCATAAGCATGACAACACTGACTGCACGAGACAAATGCAGATAGTATTGTGAGATTTTTAAATTTGAAACAAAAATAGTAGAAAATAGTAAAAAAAGCACATGAACACAAGAAAAACTGAACTAAATGGACTCAAGCAGCTGATTTTTCATTAATTTCTTAAAAGAAGCAACCTGTTTGGATCGATAGCCACTGTTGACTGCATTGTAATGTTTGACAGCATTATAGGTGTAACCTCTTTCAAAGACCGATGTATTGTGAGGAGGCATGTTAAAATTAGCATTAAATGTAAGAGCTCTGGTAACAAAACTACCACGGGGAACTAATTTGCTAGCAAGCTAAGCTGGTCTGTTAGATAATAGAACTTACGCGTGAAAACGGTCAAAAGATATAAAAATAACTTATCAATTCGCAACCAGTTGAGTTTTTTGATTTTATCTGAGACGCAATACGAAAATAAACCTACAACAGCTATTCTGAATTTTCTGCAGTTTCCTTTTGTGGACGTAGTCTAAACATGGGTAATAAAGAATAAGAGAGTAAGAAATGACAGATAACACAAGACTTTCGGCGAGCTTTTTTCGGGTTTTAAAATTCAGGATGAATTGATTAGAATAGAGGAGTTTTAAAAGCATATACGTTACTCTAGATAAGAAAGAGACATGCCGATCGAATCTCATATTTAAGTCAAGGGTAACACCGAGATTCTTGGCGTAATCCACAAAAGGGATGAGTGTCTCATCCAAAACAACACAAATCCTCTGCTTCATTTCACGGTAGGAGTTCTTCGAACAGTATAACATTGCAGTAGTTTTATTAGGATTGATCTTCAAGCAGTGTTTGTTACAGTAATCACTGATGTTAGCCAAATCTAAATTAACTTTAAAAGAGACTTCATCAACCTTTGATGGATCGAAACCGAACACTAACTGAGTGTCATCTAAACTAAACAGGCTTGCAGATCGATCGTATAAATCAGATATAGTAAGGGACCTAATACTGAACCCTGTGGAACTCCTGAAGGAACTGGCTCAGTGGAAGAAATTTCCTGATCAGTTTTCACTGTTTGTTGACGATTTAGCAAGTATGACTCAAAGAACCTTAGAACTATATCTGACATTCTATAATGAGATAACTTACTCAGTAGTATCTGGTGATTGACCATGTCAAAGGCTTTTGAGAAATCTAACAGTACCAAGACGTGATGTGATTATCTAAATTCTGAATGATGGAATCAGTAAGATGTAATAAAGACGAAGTAGTGCTGTAACCAGCTCTGAAACCTGACTGATGTAGAGGAAATGAGTGATTTTGTTCGAAAAACTCCACTAGTTGTGAGTAGACAGCTATTTCGAGTATTTTTGATAGAAAGCATAATAAGGTATTGGCCTGAGATCCGAATATTGTTCTGGATGATTAGTTTTAGCTATTGGAATAATAATATTATTTTTCCAACTGGCAGGAAAGTAACCTGTTTCAAGACAGACATTAATAATGTGAGTTATATGGTCTATGGTATCAGGCAAACATAAGCAAACCATATTTAAAGTTAGACCATCAGAGCCACATGCCGTAGACTTAATGTGAGAGATTATATTGAAGATGTCTTGCTGAGTAAGGAGTTTAAAAGCAAACAGAGGTGCATCCGATGTATGGCGTCTACCGCTATAAGAGTTAGAGACACTATCAATCAAATTTGGATCAGCTGCAGCTGTCTGGAAAATTGAAAGAAAATAATTATTTAAAATGTTAGGCTCAAGGAGACTGGGAGGTATCGCAACATGTTTCTGGGCTATCACATTCATTCTCCTCAGGTGTTTCCAAGCTTGACTAGAGTTAAGATTCCCGAATCGTGACATATATGCTTTTTTCTCTCTTCTAAGCGATGCAAATAGAAAATTAGCCGAATGATCAACAGGTAGAATCTTCTTGTATACCTTGTTATCGTTCAGGCAATTTACGCATTGTAGGGCGCTCGATTTTATGGTTTCGCGTACACCCTGGGCAGGACAGATCAGCTTTACAAGATGCTTCAGAATGGCCAAACGACCAGCACTTGAAACACTTTAATATGCGAAATTGATCAGAGATAGGTGACTTTTTCCAGCCAATATATAAAAACCCTGTCTTTAATAATTCCGATCTTAGAGTAGGAGTGACTTTAATTACGATGTTGATTCCGCTGGAGGATTTGAGCTTAGTGACAAACTGAAGAGAACCCATCAATGTTGTTGAGAGAAGCTATGTTCGAAATCAAATCATCAGGATTGTCCATTGACCATCCAAATTAACGTTTCTTAATTTATTTTGAAATTGTATCTCAAATAAGGTCAGGATAAAATAAAAGTACGTTTGGGGTAAATCTGGTATACGAAACAAATGACTATCTGATAATAACAAGGCCTACTTAAAAAATTATATATTTTTGATATAACTATGGCTTGGCAATGTGAATATATGCCAAATTACACATTTTTGGAATCAAAACTAAAAACTCTATTTATCTGTGCAAAAATGACGTTTATAAGAAAAAATAAAGTTGATGTTGGAGGACAATAGACGAAACGTCATATTGAAGTTCTTATTGTGCCATCTTGTAGAGGAGAAAAAGTGGCAATTATAATGTGCAATTTATTTAAAAATCTCCTACGAGTAATGCCAGGAAAAGCAACGAAGCGATGTAGCGAAAATTCCGTTTTTCCATCTATCTCCGGGAGGCATTTTGTTAGTTACCCAATTTCGTAACTTTGGCTCCATTTAAGCGATTTCGTATCTCTTACCGTTCCCGAGCTCGCAATGCTGATGATCGAATTTGTCACCTGGTATTTTAAAATGCTCACATATTTCTATTAAGTTCCATATGTTTCATGATATCACCATGATATCACGCAACAAAAATTTGAGATATTAAAATACTTAAAATCAGCCAAAAATGTCTACTACTCGTACACCGATCAACACTTAAAAATGGATTATGTAAAAGTTGTTTGCCTTGCACGACAAGTTCATAACCTACATCATGGAATAACGAAACCTTTCTGCGATATCATCCTCAAAATATTTTGTTTTTCATTATATTTAAATAGAATGTGAAGATAACGAGGATCTAATATGAACAGGCGGTGATGACATATTTACGCCCCATCTGCCTGTAATGCCTGCTACACATGTAATACCTGCATATAACGCACAACACGTACACTTAGTACCCAACTACATACACGATAAGATACATCTCATTACAAGCTCTGATGTGGTACTTGAGTTTAATTCTTAGCATCCGGTATTTGGGTTTATTAGTGCTATTAGTGGTCTTTTATAGGTAGTTGTCTACCCATTTTTTAATGTATCCCGGTGGCCCGAAGCTCAGATCCTGTTTGAGCAGCAAGAATTCCAAAGGGCGACATTTCACGTACCCGAAATGATGCTACGGTCGATTAGGCGACACTGTTTAGATGGGAGATAACAGAAAAAGTGAACGGCTATCAGCTACTGGGTGTAACTTTGGGTAAAGGGATCGATCACTGTTCGAACTGATGTACAGGATGATTCAGAAAATAGTAACATCATTTTTAGAATAGAAGTATGTTCAAAAATAACACGGAAAGTTCCTATAACGATAGATCCCACCCTGTATATTGGGCAGCGCATTCATGTGTACACCATGTATCTGCACCACTGGCGAGGAAGTTTTGATAGGCTCTTATAAAGAAATGTCTGACGGAGATCCTTTACGGAGGTAAGCACGCTATGGTTATCAATATTTCAATAAAAATACATTTGCTATCTCCACACACACACACTATGATGCAATCAAGATGTGAGATTGAGAAAGTGTTGTTAAAGTATTCCGGAATAAGTTGCCTGATTGATTAAGACGTCAATGTTTATGCAATCGTAATCATGGGACAGGCGACATTTTTGTATTCATCAGATGGGACAGTATCAGTACGAGGGATGTCTTTTAAGTTTTGCATATGGAAACATAGTAGGCCGCGCGGATTGAACGTCAGTACTGAATCTTAACCTCACTGTTTAGTAAACTTAAATTCAAAGTTTCACAACAATACGTGCAGTGATCTCACTACAGTGAATTTTTAAGTGTCACCAAGTCATTAGAAAAATGGAACTCAACCGAGAACATTTTTGCGCCATAATTTATTACAACTTTCAAAGGCAATTATCGCAACAAGAATGCCTTGCTGAGTTACTGTCTGTTTTCGGCAACGAAGCGCCACATCAGTCGACAATTTCCCGTTGGTATGGATAATTCAAACGTGGACGGGTGAGTCTTAGCGACGATCCCAGGGTGGGTGCACCAAAAACGGCAGTCACCTAGGAAAACGTCGATGCTGTGCGCAAGCTCATCATTGAAGATAGACATGTGACATATCGCGAGATTGAGGCGTCCTTGAAGATCTCAAAGACCTCAATTCAAAAAATTTACATGAAGAATTAGGAGTAAGAAAATTAGTTTCTCGTTGGATACCCCACCTGTTGACTGAAGCGCAGAAAGCAGCGAGGGTTAATTGGTGTTAAAAAACTCTTGACCGTTTCAATTCCGGAAACTCAAAAATGTGTACAGCATTGTTAGTGGTGATGAATCGTGGATTTACTGTTATGAACCAGAAAATAAACGACAGTCGGCTGTTTGAGTGTTCGAAGGTGAAGAAACGTCAACAAAAGTCATCCGTTCTCGAAGTGTTTCGAAAAAGATGGTCGCGACATTTGTGTCAAAAGCGGGTCATATTGCAACAATTCCTCTTAATGAGCAAAGAACTGTTACTGCGGATTGGTATATCACCATTTGTTTGCCAAAAGTCATCACCCAGCTTCGAAAAATCAATCCCGAAAGAAGAATCATCCTCCACCAAGACAATGCAAGCTCGCACACAGCCCAAAAAACAAGGCAGTATTTAACGGAAGAAAACGCGGAATTATTGGACCATCCTCCTTATAGTTCCGATCTAAGTCCTAACAATTTCTTTACTTTCCCGAAAATTAAAAACAGACTGCGTGGTCAAAGGTTCCAGTCACCAGATCTGCCAGCAAACGAGTGGAATAAGTGCTTCGAAAATTGGTCCGAGCGCATGCAGATGTGTATTAATCTTCGTGGAGAATACTTCGAAAAACAATAAAGTCATTTAAAACTACCTACCGTTTGGTTCATTTCCATATGCAAAACTTAAAAGACATCCCTCGTATTAAATTTTACGAACCGTCCTTTGGCCTTTTTCCCCTAACTGTGATTCTTTTTATTTTAACTGCTGCTTTTTCGACAAATTTCTGTATTTATACTTTATAAATTTTGGAGATAATAATGTACTTTATAGACATACAGGGTGTCCCAGAAGTCGACGTCAAGCCGAAACCGGGTGATAGGCAAAGTCATAACAGCTATCAGAAAAATATTTAAAAAAATTTTATGTATGTGTTTTGAAAATTATAGGTCTTTGAAAAAGATATAGAAATTTCACACCCTACGGCAGTCTGTCAACTCCTGTTACTACAAATATTAACTTTTTTTTGATTTTATTTTTACAATTTAATGATGAATAATGCATCTTCAAACTGGTGTCTCAACCTTACTGCGAACTTTTCTCGTTCAGGAAAAATTGCCACTTATTTCCCAACCAAGTATTCCAAAGTAAAACTTTGCACAACTTTAACTGGCTGTACTGGAAAAAAATGTACTACGAGAGTTTGGCAAGTAACCTTAAAAGTTGGCGCATTTAATAACGATTCCAAAATGGTATAACACTTAAAAGATTACTCGTTAACTTATGCACAAGTTTTATTTGAAGAAAAACTGATGAAAATTTTTCAAAATTTCCTAATTAAACAGCGATTATGAAAACGCACAAGGACCCTTAAGGATAACTGTTTGCACAACAGTGGGCGTCAAAATGCTGCTGATGATGATTTACCTTAACAGCAAATGCTCAAACTGTTTTTCTTCAGCCGCAATACACGCTCGACCTCTTCTTAAAAAAGATCGGGTTATTAAACGAGCGAATCCACGGTTATTAACAAACTCAGCTGCTTCCAATAGTCTTTGCCGTAGCTCAGCTACATTTTGAATCGGCTTGAAATACACTCTTTCTTTTACAGTTCTCCAGTAAAAAAATCTAAAGGATTCAAATCAGGTGATCGGGCTGGCCACGGTATTGTACCAGACCGCCTTATCCATCTGCCTGGAAAGTTTTGATCGAGATACTCTTTCACTGAGAGTGCATAGTGCGCTGGGCAGCCATCAGGCTGAAACCACATGTCCCTGTAAATACTCAGTGGCACGTCCACCAATAAATTTTGTACATGATTTTTCAAAAAATCCAAATAAACTTCAGCAGTCAAAGTCTCTGGGAACTCAAACGGACCGATTATTTTACCATTTAAAATTCCTGTCCAATGGTTTATTTTGAAGCGATATTGAGATTTATCTTCTCTCATAAAATGTGGGTTTGCTACGTGCCACTCGTGTAAGTTATGCAGGTTCATGTACCCATCTTTCTTAAATGTGGTCTCATCCGACCATAAAATTTTTTCAAAGAACTGTGGATCTTTCCTGTGTCTTTCTAACATTTTGCGACAAAAAGCAACTCGGGGCTCATAATCCTGGGGCAGGAGAGGTTGAACACGCTGTATGTGGTATGGATGAAGCAGCTATTGCACACTTTGATACCGATCAGTACTCCTTCGTTTACTGCGCATCTTTACATATTCTTGCTTGTTGATTTCGTACTGTTACTAATTTTGGATTCGTGAACTGGACTGTTGATCGCTTGTGATTTGGATTTAGACTGTTTAATTGCTCTTCAGAACAACATTTGCTTTCCTTAGACTATCTTTGATAGTGTGATTGTGCAGTGCCGCAACGTCCGTGTACACCGTACAAGAATATGCTAACATGCACCTCATTTATGGGGAATGCAGATGCAACGCTAGTGCTGCAGCGAGACTTTACTGTGAGAGGTACCCGAATGCAGCTCGTCATCCAGATCATCGAGTGTTCACAAATGTGCACCGCTTACTGTTCTCAAAGGGCCAACTACCAAACCAATCACACGGTGAGGGAAGATCTTTCCTTCCTTACGAAGACGAGGTGCTAGGAGCTGTCGAAGAAGACCCGAGTACTTCAGTGCGTGCAATAGAACTAAAAACAGGTGTGCCCAAAAGTACAGCCCATAGAATCTTGCAAAAAAACCTGCTCCCTCCATACCACGTACAGCGTGTTCAAGCTCTTCTGCCCCGGGATTATGAGCCCCGAGTTGCTTTTTGTCGCACAATGTTAGAAAGACACAGGGAAGATCCACGGTTCTTTGAAAAATTTTTATGGTCAGATGAGACCACATTTAAGAAAGATGGGTATATGAACCTGCATAACTTACACGAGTGGCACATGTGATGAGAGAAGATAAATCTCAATATCGCTTCAAGATAAACCATTGGATAGGAATTTTAAATGGTAAAATAATCGGTCCGTTTGAGTTCCCAGAGACTTTGACTGCTGAGGTTTATTTAGGTTTTTTGCAAAATCATTAAGAAAATTTATTGGAGGACGTGCCACTGAGTATTTACAGGGACATGTGGTTTCAGCATGACGGCTGCCCAGCGCACTATGCACTCTCAGTGAGAGAGTATCTCGATCAAAACTTTCCAAGCAGATGGATAGGGCGGTCTGGTACAATACCGTGGCCAGCCCGGTCACCAGATTTGAATCCGTTAGATTTTTTTTATCGGGCTGAGCTACGGCAAAGACTATTGGAAGCAGCTGAGTTTGTTAATAACCGTGGATTCGCTCGTTTACTAACCCGATCTTTTTTAAGATGTCGAGCGTGTATTGCGGCTGAAGGAAAACAGTTTGAGCATTTGCTGTAAAGGTAAATCATCATCAGCAGCATTTTGACGCCCACTGTTGTGCAAACAGTTATCCTTAAGTGTCCTTGTGCGTTTTCATAATCGCTGTTTAATTAGGAAATTTTGAAAAATTTTCATCAGTTTTTTTCAAATAAAAATTGTGCGTAAGTTAACGGGTAATCTTTTAAGTGTTATACCATTTTGGAATCCTTATTAAATGCGCCAACTTTTAAGGTTACTTGCCAAACTCTCGTAGTACATTTTTTTCCAGTACAGCCAGTTAAAGTAGAGCAAAGTTTTACTTTGGAATACTTGGTTGGGAAATAAGTGGCAATTTTTCCTGAACGAGAAAAGTTGGCAGTAAGGTTGAAACATCAGTTTGAAGATGCATTATTCATCATTACATTGTAAAAATAAAATCCAAAAAAAGTTAATATTTGTAGTAACAGGAGTTGACAGACTGCCGTAGGGTGTGAAATTTCTATATTTTTTTCAAAGACCTATAATTTTCAAAACACATACATAAGATTTTTTTAAATATTTTTCTGATAGCTGTTATGACTTTGCCTATCACCCGGTTTCGGCTTGACGTCGACTTCTGGGACACCCTGTATATCCGACGAGTCTTATCATATCTATGATCCGAAGACAATAAACCATCTATCTATCTTTCTTTAAGCTCTTTATAGCATCCGCGATGGCCTGGCATTTGGGCTTCTGCCTGCTAGGATGCTTAGGTGTAAAACAGAAACTCACAATCATATTGTATTACTAGACGGACAGATAATAGACATGTAGAACAAATCCGTACACCCTTGTAGCCGTTTAGCTATTATAGCAGCGTTACCGTCTCGCTGTTCATTCATGATTTTTGCCGTATGTATCCGTCAATGTGCGTTGCGTATGTCTATACGCGGCCCCCTCTCCTGCTGTTCTGCCGCCTTCTACTTTTTTCTCCGGTTGATGGCGTTCCGGTTGAACGTCCTACGGCACGGCTCACCAGATCTGCCTCCATTGCCATAGGCTATCAACAAGATCATCTGTTTTTACTTCCTACGGCACTGGGCGAGAAAGTGTTGTCACCGCGAAAAATTAGACAATAAAATATTATATTTTTTAATGTTATATGACATATATACATTACGGAAAACCATGTCACTCATTTCAGTCGGTCTACCTGTCTGTCGGTCTGTCCTCTGATCTTTTTGGAAACTTGTAAAATGCTGCTCGGATTTGGAAGAAATTCTCACACAGGGTTGATACTATGCCAAGCTTTACTTTGCAGTTTTTGAAATCCAGTGGTGTCGGAGAAAAACGTCAAAAAGGAGGGTCCCGATTTTTTGACGTTTTTTTATGGGGGGGGGGTTATATTGGGTAGCAATCTTAATTTTCTGGTGTTAGTATATTAATACAGGGGGGCCGATATGTAACTGGTTCGTTTGAATCTCGCATATTTTTGAAATGAAATAAAATGCGTCAATTTTTTTCATCTTAATGTTTTATTCAAACTTAGAAATTATGTATGAAAAATAATACCAGACAAATGTCGCCCCTAGAAGCCGCGCAAACCTGAGCCTTCTTGATTACATTTTCCATAACTTTTTGGTAGCTTTCGGGAGGAATATTTTTCAAAAATCCCGATCACAAAGTCAGGATCCGTTAAATCCGGTGACCTTGTTGGCCAGTTGACATCGCTAAATCATTAATTCATTGTTTCCCAAGCCCCAAGCTGCGTGACAAATCGCTCCATCCTGCTGGAACCACATGTTTTGCAGGTTAAATTTTTGGATTTGAAGAGACAGAAGGTTTTGCACTATATATACACAGGGTGACTTCGAAGTTGAGTCATTTATTTCAACAGTGAGTAGATCTGATCAAAAGAAATGTTTTTTCCTTTAACATTTTTCTGGTAAAATTAAAGTAACAAAGTTATAGCCCTTTAGAAGTTTGAGTACCGCCCTGTCTCAATAATAATATTATGTGCTCGTGTTTGGCAACAACGGATATAATCCGCCTTATCGGTTCATCGCATCGGAAACAAAAAAGCGAAAGAATTTGAAACGTTTATCACGATGTTTTTCGTCCGTCGGTAACGCGTGAGTGAATAGTGGTGTTTGTTGCGTGGTTCAAACGAAATAAAAAATGGCAAATGTTTACGAAAATGCTGAACTTGTGGACATGATTCTTATTTGCGGGGAGGCAGGGTCTTTACAAAATGCTGCCGCGGCATCACGGATTTGTGCGAATCGGTTTCCCAATCGAGTGCAACCAACCCCTCGTG